GCAATTGCCCTTGAGAACAAAGCTGACACATTTTACCTTTTCACGACAGGTCAACCATGACAATCGGACCACTTTTACCAGTTGGTTTACCTTTTTTTTTTTTTTTTACAAGCTCACTAAACAAACCCAATCGAAGTTCACACATCGGTTGACATTTGCATCATAAATATTTTAAAGAGAAAAGCAACTCGTCATAACCCAAAATTTAGACTATATTTATCTTCTATTAGTTTTTGGTATTTTTTTTTGTTTTATTTTATTTATTTATTTTAACTTTTATTTTCTTTTTATTTTATTTTATTTTTATCAATTTTACCATTACAAGCTTTATGTTTAAATTTTAGGGATTTTTTTTTTACTTTTGTTAAAATAAAAAAAGATTTATTACATAATCACTTTATCAAAAAAAAAAAAAAAAGAAAAGAAAAAAATACAAACTTAGAAAAATCACAAAAAAAAAAAAATTTGTATGACATGATCAATTAAGGGTATAATTGAAGAAAATAAAGACCGAAATTGAAAACAACTAAATTTGAAATTGAAATTCAATTAGGGATGAAATTGAATGAAATTAGGACTCGAAATTGAAAGCTAATAGGGGTGGTACAATTGAAATGAAAATCAAGGGTGTAATTATAAGAAATTGAAACACTTAGGGATTAAATTGAAATTGAGAAACGAATGACAAGACAAAATGGGCCAAATGACCTATTGTTTGCTACAACCCAAATCCAATCCTCGGGTATTGTTCATTGTCTTTTTGGAAGACAACTTTGTGATTGTACACATAGACTAAGAATTGGTTTTTAATTTCTTGTTTTGTTCATAAATGGTAGATCAAGGATAGACATGCTTGGGTTTGATTTTTGGTGTGCAAGGGTTTAGATTGATTATAAACGATCATAGGGTAGAGAATCATTCAAATTTGGCTATACATTGAGCCACGTTGTGTTTGGCTAGAGGAGGATTTTGGGGATTCTAGTTTTGGAATTTTTTTCAATTTTTTAAAAGAACATTCTAGTTTGAATTTCCTCTTATGTTTTTCTAGTCTCTTATTTCAAGCATCCTCACCACAAGTCCGGGTTCACAAACGGTTTCCCCAAGTCAATAGTTCCATCAATCATCATTGTTAAGGTCCTCATTCATTCGACCAAACTAGTGTTCTTCCCTCAATCTCTAGAAAGGAATTTTATAGCATTCAATCTTTTTTTCCAAATGATTCAAGCCTTTACTTGTTCTCATTTGGTTTACAAACCGGCACTAATTCATTAAGGCACTACATTATGCATTATTTCAAAAGTTCATTTCTCTATTCTCGACAAAATAAGTACTCGCTCCCAAACATCCATCCTTCTTCATTATTTATGATTAATTGTTTCTAATATTGTTAAAAGGTCTCCATAGGTTGTCCAAATGTATCTCGCATGTTAGAATTTTGTGACTTTGTTAATTTAAGTCTAGGTTCTTAGTTTCTCGAGTCGGGGTAAAAAGGAAGAAGAAGAAGAAGAAGAAAGCAAGGGAAAGAAATAAATAGAGGGAGAGAAAAGAAAAGAAGAAGAGAAAAAAGGCTTGGCCCAAAGAAGAGAGCAAAAAAGCTAGGATGTGTCTAGCCCAGCCTAAAGAAGAAGAAGAAAGAGATTAGGCTAAGGCTTAGCCTAGCCACTAAGGGAGGAAGGGAAAAGGGAGCTCACTAGGCCCAAAGGCCCAATAGCCTCCTTTTTTTTTTTTTTGTATTTTTTAGTTTTAGCCATTTTCATAGGAAAACAAAACTCCGAAATTTTCATGCATGCTTCTTATTTTCATTTCTATTCTAGATTTAATTTTTTTAGAGTTTTGAACTCTTTTTGCTTAGTTATTTCAATTTATTTAATTAAATTTTTAGTCATTAATTTCTTTTGGTATTTAAATTTTAGCTTAGTTTAGTATTTAGTATTAATTAAATCTAAAATTACGATTGTAGATTTAAGACTCCTATGTATTTGTGTAGGGTTTGTTAATTTAATTTTAGACTTATTTTAATATTGAATATTGCTTGAATAACCAATAGTTAAGTTAGGTAATTAATAGGTGGATGAATCATCAAGTTTTCTAATTTTTAGGGATCAATGAAGATTCTCCACCAACTTTGGAAAATATAAAATCAATAAAAATGATAAAAAAAAACATTAAAAGAAAAAAAAGAAAAAGAAAAGAACCAAAAAATTATAGAGAGAGAAATGCTAGATTAATTTAATAAGTCTATTATCTAATAAGGACTAATATTATTAATTAATTTAAATCAATCACATTTTAGTAAGTAGGTGATTCTCCGACATACGAGTTAATTCAAAACTTAAAGTGGATCCAATTTTGAATTGACAAGACTTTCGACGACGAAGTTTGACAATCGATTTGATATGGTGCCACAAAAAGGAAAAATTAATTTGACTTAGATAATAAACTTAGAAGTTGACTTAGAAATAATTTGGCAAAAATAGAAAATTTTAAGAGATAAATTCTTATGATTAAACCGGACAAGGTACATTTCTTGAAAAGTGTGTTTTTGGATGATTGATATCTTTTTAAAGGCATAGCCAACTCCTTAATCTATAATATCTCGAATAAGTGTCATTTTAGGTTTTTTAGTTCTTTTAATTTTGATTGGCAAATCCAAAACATAGTTTAACTCACATACATAGTAAATAATAAAAAAAAAAGTAAACAAATAATTTTAACTATTTTTTGAAAGTCCCCTAAATGTCAAGTAGCGATGATTAAGATAATATTTTATTTATTGATTTTGTAAAATTTTCAAAATGTCACACAATTCAAAAGTAGAAAATCAAATAATTTTAATAAAAGTTTTTCTTAAACTAGGTATGAAGTATTATAAAACCAAAATAATAATAATAGATAGTTTTTATTTCTTGTCCACGTGGTAGAAAAAATAAAATGATGACAAATATAATAACTCAAACTCTTGAAAAGGTATATAAGTCAATTTATAATTTTTTTTCACGAAATTGAATTAAGAAAATGATAAGAAATTTATTTGTGATTTTTTAAAAATATAGTCCTTATTGTGGAAAGATATGCGTTATTTGAACTTTATAATAAAATAAACGAGTAAATTTCAATCTAGTTTCGGACTTATATATTTCTTTCATATTTAAATTTTTAATATTTTAAAAAATATTATATTTATTAAAAAATATTACTTTTAATTTCGAGTCGAATTATTATTAGATTGAATCATAGTAGATCTAGATGTAATCCATTTAATAAACAAGTTAACAAATTCAGATTATAATCAAATTTGGATAAAAAAAATTATTTACTATATTCATTTAATTACATTTGATTTGGGTTGAATTCGCATTAAGATTTAATCCATTTACAGCCCTACTCAAATCGGTACGAGTATTACAAATGAAAGTTTTGTTAGGTTCTTATTGGTTTGGTGCTTAGACTTTTGTCCAAAAATGAATAACAAATCTACTAATGAGCCAGAAAAAATTAAAAAAAAACATCTGTCAGCAATTAGTTATCGTTACTATTTTTCAATGATGAGAACCTATTTTTTCTCGTATCTAGAGGCAGCATTTAAGCTCTTTCTATTTTTTGGGTATAAAAAATATTATTATTATTATTTTGTGATTTCGTTTTAATAAAGTTTTCGTCTTTGAAAATAATAATAAAAAAATCCCGATTTTTTTTTTTAATTTCCCCATCGTGACAACAAAAGAAAATATGAGTACTTAAACACTAGAAATAAAGCCCACAGATATATGCAAGAAGATCTAGACAGATTACAATGAATACAAATCACAGATTTAGGTCCGTCCCCCAACCCAATCAAAAAGCCATATTCTTGACCTATCTATCATCACCTACCCTTTTCCATCTGCCCCGTGTATATATACACACACACACAAATACACGTCAGTATTGAGTATTTAGTTTTTTATTTATACTTACTGTATACAATTTATTTAGGTATTAAAAAAGAGGAGTTGTACATTGGTGAACAGAGATGGTACATTGAATTTTTAACGTCGTGGGAGCTTTCGTGGCATTGCCGCATTCTTGCAAAACCCGACCCAAGCACCCAACCCAACACAACGCATGATGACAAAGTTTATGCGGGTCAATACGCTCACACCACACCATCTTTTTGTCTCAGGTGGTTTTTACTTACTTTGATTAAACAATTTCGAAGACCTTTCCTTTCCCGTCGCTGGTACTCTCCTCTCTCTCTCTCTTTCTACCTACCCATGTTTTTGTTTTTCTGATTTTGATCTGGGAATTCGAGATTTGGGCTTTTTCTAGAATTTTTTTTATGCTGTTATGTGGATTTTGGGTTTTTTTTTTTGTGAGGTTTGCCATCTTTTTTCCCTGATTGTTTGTTTATATATGGTTGGTTTTTATTTGAATCTAAATTTTGATTTGGCTCTTAGCTGAATTTTGTTTGATGGGGTTTATCTTTTGTTTTTTATTTTTGGATGTGGGGTTATGATATCTGTGTTGTTGTTGACAAGATATCTTCTCTTTGAGTTTTCACATCATTTATGTTCTGTTGCAAATAGGCATATGTGAAAGAGTAGACTTTAATGAAATCTGTTGATTTGTTATTAAATGTTTTTGATAATTTTTAGGTTTCTTAGGGAACAACGAATAATATTGTGCTAATATCAGTTTATGTAATTGGGGCATTTTTGTTTTTAAATGTTGGCTTTCTAGGTGCTATAAGCTATTTGAGACTGGGCTTGATTAACCACAATGCATATGTATTGCTGTCCTTTTGGTTCGCGTAGGACTGGATTTTGGAATTGTTGCAGAGGGAGAAAGTTGCTGTTGGATGCTTCTTACTTGTAAACTAGAGGAGCCCAAGTTGGTTTTTTGATTTGGATGCTCAATTTTTAATACAAGTTTGGTGATTAATAAAGTGGTTCTTCGAGTTACCTTCAGTGCTTTCTGTGGTTAGATTGGATTAGTGGGTTACCTGCTACGTTCTTGGCATCATGCCAGTTGTTCAAAAACTGTATGATGCCTGCAAAGAGTCTTTCTCGGTTAATGGTCCCGTCTCAGAAGAAGCTCTTGCAAAAATCCGTGCTGTTCTAGGTGTGTGGGTATTTCATTTGCTTTTTGCACATCAAATTAGCTCATAGCTCTTTATTTAAGTCATTTTTGAATCCTCTAATTTAGTTTAAATCTATTATCTTAACATTTTTATGTTTTGTCATATCAGATCAAATGAAGCCTTCTAATGTGGGTCTCGAACAGGAGGCACAGTCGGCTCGTCAATGGAAAGGTTCCATAAATGGTACCAATGGAAGGAAAGGGCGCAATGGGAGTCTTCAGTACCCACCTCCTATCAAATATTTGCATTTGCACGAGTGTGACAGATTCTCTGTAAGCGATTAATGTCACTGCAGGCTTTAAAATTCTATTTGAAATGTAGTTTGAATCTTTTAGCAATATTGTTTTTGATTGCATGGATTGCTCATGATTGTGAAAATTGAATTCATGGACTTTCAACTTCGTTGCAGATAGGGATCTTCTGTATGCCGCCTTCCTCCATCATACCACTTCATAATCATCCTGGAATGACTGTGTTGAGCAAGCTTCTTTATGGCTCGTTACTTGTAAAATCATACGATTGGATTGATCTACCTGGTTTTAATGATCCATCCCAAGGTGCCTATCTCTTTTCCTTTGTAATTTTGCTGGTTATGTTATGGAATTAGTAGTGGTAAAATTCTGTTTGATATGTGTGAGAATATGCCCTAACTGCATGATGGTTATGTTGAGTTGCATTTAAGACATTGTAAACCGGGATCCTAGTGTGTCATGCGGTGTTTTTGTGTGTGCATGCCTGCCTGGGGCCAGGGGGTTGTGAAAGAAACTTTCGTGTCATCTTTTCTATTGAAAGCCAAATTGACCCTAGTGGGTAGCAGTTAAAAGCATATCTTGGCATCACTCTGTGGCCAAAGCATCCCAATTGTATTGGTATGACACGTTGCTTTATTATCCTAATGTCTCATGGTTTGCATAAAGACCATGCATCTCATGTGCTGTGTCTAGAATTAGCCCCTAACTGACTAAAAAATTGCTTCTCAGTGTCTCCCAAATATAATCATCACCTCAAATGGCTATAAGAATCCTTGCCATTGTTGCCATCACCACATCTATTGAAGTTGGTTCCAGGCTACAAGCACTTATTACTACCCATCCTCACCTCATTGCCTTAATTAACCAGCATCACATTGGCACTTTATTATTGCACATGTTTCACACATTCTGGTTACGATCATTGGACATTGTCAACTCATTTCTAAGTTGTGGATGCTTTGATATGTCATGAAGTGACCGTTGACTGATGAATTTTAGTTTGTTGGTTCTTTGGGCCTTTAGGAGAGAGTAGATGTACATTGCATTGGATGGCAGTTAGTTCTCTTCTTTTGGATTCTTATTTAGATAAATTCTTATGACCTGAAAGTCCTTACAGAAAGATCTTGTCCCAACTACTTGGTAGGTTCCACATGGTGTTGAAAGATGTTAGGAACTGCAATTGATTGATTTTAGAGTGGTAGAGTAAACTCTTATAGCACAAAAATTCGTTCATGAAGGGGGGCACAGAAAATTATTACAAACATTGACTTGGTGACTCCCACATGAGAATGGTTGTGGTTTTTTAGTTCCCTCTTCATGCACAATTTTTCATCCTAAATAGTACAATTCTTTTGATGTATTGAAGACATGTGATCCATATGTGTAGTGGTGTTCATGTTGCTTTCTGAGTTACCTTAAGGACTGTCTGTTTGGGCTACTACTTCTGTCCTGATTGGTGATTAAGCATCAGTTTCGGTTGAGTTTTTAGAACCATAGTTTGCACAAAATCATTGTATTGAAACAGTTTCTTGCGAACTCTACCACAATTCCAAAAACACTCTTAAAGTATGTTGAGAGAAAAAGCAGGTTTTGAATCTTGATAGAGTGTTTGGCAATTGTTTTAAAACCATGGTTTGGAAAACCAAGGCACTTACCACCACGTTTCTCGAAAATCAATCTCAAATGCTGTTTTGAGGTTGAGTTTCACCAGGGTTTGCATCAAAATCATTGTTTTAAAAAAGATTAACAAACACGTGCTTGGAATTCCAAACCTGGTCTTCATCAACTCTCTCACTATCTGCAACACATACAGTAAAGCAGCTTACATGCGCCTGGACAGGAAGTTCATTTGTGGGTCACAACTAATTATATGCATTTGCTTTCAGACATTTTTAAGTCACTGCCAAGTCCAAGTGATCATTTGAGTTCTCTCAAATTCATTTCTTATTTCATTCTTTAGGAAATCGCAAACTTCAATGACATTACAGGTTGAGCAGCATTTATGTATTTAGTGAGGATTAATTTGGTTGGAATGCATATAAATTCTAATTGCATATAAGATCACATTTCTTCCTTGTTCACCGTGATAGAGCAGTAATTTGGTTAAAGCATGTTTTTCTTTTCTTTTCTTTTCTTTTTCTTGGGTTGTCTTTTGCACCTTTCTTGAAAGATTTGAGTTTGATGGTTGAAATTTACAGCAAGACCTGCAAGACTCGTTAGAGATTGTGAAATGACGGCACCTTGTGGTACAACAGTTTTATATCCTACCTGTGGTGGCAACATTCATTGTTTCAAAGCCTTGACACCCTGTGCTCTGTTTGACGTTCTGTCACCACCTTATTCCTCGGAAGATGGGAGACACTGCTCTTATTTCCGACGGACCCCAAAACGTGAACTGCCAGGTATAAATATTATTCCTTCTACTCTTCTTTTCTCTTATGCTACAATTTAAACTTTTAAGCACTTCTCTTTTTTTTGTCTTTTTATCTGATTTTTTAAATATTTTCTCCCTTGGCAGAAGGAACTGAAGAATTGTGTGGCATTGAACCCTCTGAAATCGCATGGTTAGAAGAAACTCAACCTCCAGAAAACTTTGTGGTACGGAGGGGGTGTACAAAGGTCCTACTATTAGACGTTAAAAGGTTTTTCATTTTATTTTTTGGACAGGATGTACAATAACATTAATCAGATTAGATGAACAAATGAAGAACCAAGGAATTGATTGCTGAAAAAGTTAGTTGTCAACTAACATGGGCAGTAATAATCAGTTGTTGGCATTGTCAAGGCATTTGCTGTACATATTTTCTGTATTGGTGTAGTGATAAATGGCAATTTGGGGGGAAAAAAAATGGTGTTCCTTTCACGTTCTTACATTTGTTTGGTCATTTTTTAATAAATGTGTAGCACTTGGAATTTTTCCCTCAGGCCGGTGTCTTCTCTGGCATAGAACTTTTACTCCAACATTTCTGTGATAAGCTCTGTATCAAATGATTTATTGAATATCCTCTTGGTACCACCTCGGATATCGCTCATGGGTGGGTGAGTAAATTATGCTGATCATCATTGAGCTTCACAGTTACTTCCTGGAGAGCTGTTTAGTGTTACTACATGAACAGTTCTTGTCGGAGTAGATTTGCGGACTGCTGGTGACTTGGTAATGACTAATAACACTGCTATCGATCTTAATGCCTACAGGCTGCTAGTCACTAGACAGCATGGAACGATTTTCCAACTGAGAAATCTGGTTGAAGCAAATGGCAGGAAAATCAGGACTCCGATTTTTCATTTTCAATCCACTTGCAACGTTGCGAGGTTAATTTTTTATTTTTATTTTATTTTATTTTATTTTTTAATTTAGTCGTTTGGTTCTGTGCCATCTGACAGTGCCCATCCTGATGAAACAAAACAAAATGCTGTTTTTCAATATCTAAGCCTAGACTTACAAAAACGGGTTGGCGTTAATTAGCTTTCCAACAGTCAGAGAATTTAAACTTTCCGTTTTCAATGCCCCCTTTAATATGGAAAGGATGAAATGCCCCCTGCCCTTTAAACTTGGGCCAGCCACACGAGTTTCAACTTTCTAGTGTCAGATATCTGTGTAAATGAATCATCATCTTCGTCATCTCAGTTACTTTTTTTTTTTTAATATACACTTTATGTGTATGGAATTAAGACATATATTTATGAAGTGTAATTGATATTTACGTATGAATCACTATAAACTAAAAATGGTTTGAATCCTAACAGGCACGTCTATGTTCAGACACAAAGGTTTTTTTTTTTTTTTTGGGCAAGCCGGTTTGAAGTCAATGACAGATTCCAAACCCCAAAAAGCCAACGATCCAATGGGAATTGGTACCAGGGTCCAAACAAGTACTAAAAACTGGAAGAAAAAGAAAACCTGACAATGATTAATTAAAAACAAGGAAAGCTATGAGTGGGATATGATTGATATTAAACTTTCCATTAATTAAGAATTAATATAAACAGACCATGATTCCCCTTTACATAGCTTTTTTTAAAATTCCGATTTCCCACTCCAAAACATATATAGTAATATTTTTTTCTGTCCATACTATGTGGTCATATGCTAGTTGGATGTCTTTGTCCATGAAACAAATCTGAAATACAAGTAGCAATTCTTTGAAAGATTCTTAGAGGCTCTAAAATATCAATAAATTGTCAACTCCCCATGCAGACGACAAGACAGAGTATCAATTATTTTCTAGGTGCATGGGTCTCAGAGCTGCTTATTTTCTTATCCTTATCGTGCTCCATTTCCTTCTCTTCCCACGTAGATTTCTCTGATCATCAACTTAGTTTAATAATTAGAATATATGTCTTCTCTTTCTCCATCTCTACGGCAACGAAATTATATGCACATGCCACACATAACGAGCCACTTTTGGGTGTTTTCTTGCCATACCTAATCCTTCAAGTGATTCCCTCTTCTTTCCCAAAGACGATATCTAACAATATAAATTTGAAAAGAAGTAGCTGTTTGTCGTAAGGAGACAAAACAGTCCGAATTCTTCCTGATTAACTTTGAAAATTAAACCCTTTGGATGGTCGGGGAAAGGATAAAGAATGGATTGCAGTTTTAGAATTACCTAACTATTGAATATATGGTAATGCAGATGGGAGACAAATCTGTCTCTGCATGCTTCCTTCCCTACCCCCACCTCCTTATCTCTATTTTCTGTCCAACTATATATTTTGTCTGGCTTCATTTTTAGAGAAAATAATGTAGTATAATTTGAAAAACATTTCTCACAGTACTTGATATATTTTGGAAACTTAAACTATTGATTAGTTTATTGTTTTGACTACAACTATATATATATATAATTTTTAATTGATCAAGGGCTTAACAACCCAGAATTGGAGTTTTGCTTGTTCACACTGCTTTTTTTTTTTTATAAAAAAAAAATATTGATTCTTAGAAATTAAGGTTAATTCTCATGTCAAGAATTGAACCCGCAACCTATCCCTGAAAAAAAAAAAAAACGTGTTTTGCTAAGAGAAAAATAAATATCTAATTTCGACTATATATTGAAATAAATATAAATTCTAAGATTAATTTTTATCTTTCGTGAAGCAATACAGAGAAACTTTCTTTTCGTTCATGTTAGAAGGAACTCTTAAAATATGTTTCGGATTAAAATTGTGCTTAACGTTTTGAAGTTATCATTCATCTGCTTATCACACAGATCTCGAAATTCAATTGGGGCAACAAAGAAAAAAGAAAAAATCCAAATACAATCCCAAATTAGGGATGATAAAGCAATGTTAGTTTAGACTATTTGTTTTAGCAATGACAAAATGGGATGATAATAATTTGGTCTACCTACATGTGCAAACTTGGTCACAAAGAAACAGAAGAGTAAAGGAAATGGCATACGTGTGTTTGTTTGTTATTGGCCCTCTTTTGAACTCCTCTTTGAATTTAGTTCTTGCTAACCCTTAGGTCTTAGTCCAACTAAACATTTTCAAGTATTCTCATCACATATTAAAAATAAAATTAATCCTATTTGGAACGATAACGACAAGGTTTATTTCTTTTCAATGAATGCAATTTGAAGATTCAAATCTTATAGATCATTAGACCAACAATTTTATTAGTTAGCCTAGCTAAACATTGACAGTGTTGTCTGAGGTGACAATTTAAGCTTCTCATGAACGATACATGGGAATCATATTCTAGGTTTTTTCCTTGCCTATCCTTGTGCAGGCTTTCTTGGAACTGGACGGTTCCTATGCCAAAATCATTTGTCTTTTGGTTGCTATTGTAAGCTCAAGCTTAATATTCCTCTAAATTAAGTACCCTTCAGGATTTGATTGGAAAATGTTTAATATTGGTTGTCTTACATTGAATATATATATATATGTATATATAAGAAACACACCTACCAAGTAAAACAATATTATATGGGATCATACTGATATTTTCAGAAAAAAATATTCATTAAAAAAAAAAACTTAAATTTACACTATGATATTGCATCCTTTTTTTCCACAGGCAGTCTACATCAACGTCATCTCGGCACATTCAACAAATTTCATTTGTCAAAGGCCATATATGGAAGCTTAACTATTAATTTTCATATTTGCATAATATTAAATGTGTTGAGAAGAGATTTGTTTGAATGCAAAAGTCCTACCAAAATTGACTAATGCATTCAGCTGGTAGTGTTTCTTCAACGACTGATGGATCAATTATTTTTGGGTTGGACCAATAATTAAATCAAAGTCATAGAGCCACATGCTTTGCAGAAAAAGTTAAAGAGTAACATAAATTATCCTAGCGTCTTATCTAATATAGAATTTTGATAATTCAAACGATTACAAATTTTAATATACAAAATAGTGATGGATCTGAAAAAAAATTAAATTTAAAAAAAACATTTTCATTAGGCCTTCTCAATTCTAAAAATTAGCTGAATAAATGAGATTTTTTCTCATACTTATAACTAACCATTTAGTCCAATTCACAATTGATGTGAGATAACACAATAATTTCTCTCTTTACACATCGAGAGTTCTATGTTAGTTATTTCTCATCAACTTTTATGATGTCGATAAATGAAAAATTATTTAGTCTAGACTTTGTTATTAATATTGGGTGCTATCGAGTCTTCTTAATTTCAAAAATTAACTCAAATAGTGATGTTTTTTTCTTATACTTATAACCAAACACCAAGAAAATATATTAAAAAATAATATAAAGTGTATTTTATAGCATCACTCAATAAATTAAACTTTTGAGACTATCCTTTAACAAATAAAAAAAAACCTATAAACACCAACGCATAGGGATAGGAAAAACCGAAGAAAAGAAGTAGTCTTTGTTTAGGTGGGAAGAAAATTGATGGGTTGATGAAATGAGAAGGTCCCGCGTTTAGCTATAATAATTATTATACACAGAAATGAAATGGTCCCATCTATATTCGCTACACTTGCTAGCTAATACATAATATTATATATGTACTAACTAAGGTTATTTTAAGTGCAATTTGCACATCAATTAAAATTAAATATTTTCAAAAGGATATTAAGAATATATCTTTTGTATCTATTTAAGGCATATAGAAAGATTTAATAATTTTTTTAAATGCTAATTTTAAGATTTAAACTCTGAAAATTAATAGATAAAATAAACATCTTCAATCACCAGACCAAATCCTTAAATTATTTTTATGATATTAATAGGGAGAGAGGTCTGCAACATAGGTCAAAGAATTAAGATAATCACGAGAGGGATTTTGGAAGGACAACTGTCAAAGGAGAAGAGAAAGAAAGAAAGGGTTTTATAGTCACATGATACTCTCAACAGTCGCATCTGTATCCATAATGCCATTTTAAAGAGCACAAGTTGGACTGTCCTAAAAATCGCTGATTTGTATTTACACTTAATAAATAACACATTTAAGTCTATAGAATATCTGGTGAACTTTGATGACTTTGATTCCATGGTTTTTCGATTATACAAAAGACATCACAATCCAAACACCCAACACACAAACCACAAACCACTGCCTCTCTCTTCTCTTCTCTCTTCTCTTCTTTCTCCCTCTCTCAAGAACCAAGTCTGCGTCAGTTTTCAAGTTTGGGAGAGGCATGCCAGGATTGGTCCGGCTATATAGATATATTTATTTATATATATCTATATCATAATCTGAAGTTATAGACAAACCTACCAACAACTTGGAATGGCCGTGCAAGATCGATGCATCATCACCAACTGGTTTGTGTATATTTAGGGTTTTAGGAAAACAATATATATATATATATATGTGTGTGTGTGTGTGTGAATAAAAAGAAATGAGTGAATCAGCTAGCTAGCTAGCTAATTATATATATATATATATATATATATATATATATATATATATATATATATATATATTATTTATGCCTGTATACAGTTAGTTATAAGTTATTTCCAAGACTTTTGGAAAAGAGATGAAGATGATTTGTTAGCCAGCTTAATTTCTTTACCCTTCTATCCAGTTTAAACTGAAGTAGATTCTGATGAGGCCAATTATTATTATTTCTTCATGATCCTTTTTTTTTTTTTTTTTGCTTTCAGAAACTCCATGACCTAAATATAATCCTTGCATCACCATTGTTTTCTGAATATTATAGATTCCATTTTGTTTGGAAGCATTTTTTTTTCTTTTTCTTTTGGAATTAATAGCATTCCACGATCAAATGAATCAATTCCCATTTAGATCATCGCTTCTGAAAATATAAGAAGCTCTCTTTAGACACCCTAATTAATCCGAAGACTAAGCATTTCTTTGCTCAAGAATCATGTTTGTTTGTAGCAATAAATTCTGTGTGCATATTCATTGCAAATCCTCTTTCCTGTACTCCATCTGTGCTTATCAACTATAACTTTTTCTTAAAAAATAAAATTAATTAGGTTTAGCTAGCAAATATGCTGCTGAGATACTACATGGATTGTTTTCATTTCAAAATAGAGCTTCTCTTACACAGCAAAAAAATCACTTGCTTGCTGCATCTTTAACTTGATATATAGTTGCTAAACTATACACTTAATTACTAGACATGATTGGAAAACAGCTATGCGGTTGTTAACTAATAGTTTAGTACAGTTTATTAATGCATGCTATACCCATATATTGGTAGATCATAGAGGAACTATGTATAATTTCATTTTAAAGATTAATGAAAGAAAATCAATTTGTGTCATTTCAAAAGTTAACTTCCTAATTTAATTTGTTTTCATGCCTTTTAAGTGGCTATGCTTCATAAGTTTGAGTGTTCAACAGAAGTTGTAATATAATTTCTTTTTTCTTAATTTTGCATTATGCAGAATGCAGATGAAGATCATGAACAGAAAGAGAGACGCTCGAGAACATATTGTGTCTCAAAACCATTGAAATAGCCATGTAAGTCTAGATGTAAAATGGAACCAAAAAGAGGCAACAAAAATGAAAAAGTAATCATCTTAACATAAAATGACCTCATCCCTTTACCTATTTCTTAGCTGTTTTCCATCTTTGGTGCATAGAAAAATAAAGGTAATTTTGGCATTCACTCAAATATGACGTAGGTTCATAATAGATGAGACCAACCCAACTCACAAAACCTTTGATACCATGAAATATATTGATTCTGCAGCTCTTAAATGAGGTATTTTTCAAGCATTTGGTGTTGTCTAGAGCCATATTGTCCACTAAATTGTTGTTTATGTGTGCCTGTTCCTTGGATTTACACTCATGAAGCATCTAGGATATCATAAATGGAAAACTGCTTGTCTACCTACTACAATCATTTGTTGTGCTGTTGTTTACCTAATGCAATTATTCACAGATCGAGGTTTGATCTGACAATGTACGAGACTATGTATAATACAAATTCGGTGGAGCATATTAGCAAAATTGAAATCCCATTCTTACCGGAAACCATTAATAAAAAACTACTTCCATTTATAGGTTGACAGTGCAGCTGATGTCAAATGTTTAAAACAATAAATATCCTAACAGATTTTGAGCCATGTGCCATAATTTTGTACAGCTACTTACCCATTGGAGTTAAAAGGTTGTCCTCAATCAAAAACTTGGTACAGGCAATTACTGTGCTTTAAACTACTTCAATGCGTCCGGACAAATTAAAGGACATCCTTAGAGTTAAGAATTAGGTTTTGGAGGTCTCAGGTTCCAACCCCGAAGAAGGTTGGGGTTGGAATTCGATCGGAATTGAGAATGACATACTCCATTGACTAACCCAAGATTGGGCCACCCGTTGATGAAAAAAACAAAAACTACAACAATGCAGCCACTAGTACTATCATCCCAGTTTTGAGTCTTAATGCAATTAAAAATGCATGTCTCTAATGGTAAGCTTGAATTTAGCTCCCTTTTCTTTTGACAGAGAAGCAGCTTCAGATATATAGAAACTCAACATTGGAAGTCATTAGGGGAAAACAAGTAGCTATGGAAGAAGAATTAAGGGTAGGTGATCACGAAATGACGGACGAATGTGAGGACCAAGCTGAAAACACATCTTTGATATCGTCCCAAAAGTGCTCATCCTTCGATTTGAATGAAGAAGCAAGCAGCGAAGAGGATAATGGCACTGCTGAAGTTAGTAATACTGATGGTGAGAAGAGAACAGAAGGGGATTCTGCTAATAATGGTATGTCTGCAGAGAGAAATGAACGTAGGTCCTCAGTGAGGCAATATGCTAGATCAAAAATGCCTCGGCTACGATGGACTCCTGATCTCCATCTATCTTTTGTGCATGCTGTTGAAAGGCTTGGTGGGCAAGAGAGTAAGTTCAAATGAACTTTGTTAAAATTGATAGAAATTTATAATTAGTTCACTTTACTTACTTACACTTCTTTGAATTGGTGAAGAAGCAACTCCCAAGTTAGTTCTTCAGTTAATGAATGTGAGGGGGCTTAGCATTTCCCATGTAAAGAGTCATCTACAGGTACTTACTAGAATTAGTATTGTTTAACCTTGTGTACGAATTTCTGGACCAACATTTTTTTTGTTTTCCTAACTTTTTTTTCCTCGTTGTGCATATTAGATGTACCGAAGTAAGAAGCTCGATGAGGCCGGCCAAGGTGAAGTTTATTATTTTCTTTGGTTTATTCAATAGTAAGGGGATTGTGCTTGGTATTGTGAATCAATTAGAGGAAAAGTTTAAGGACTTCATAAGCAAGAAGAATTATAACTCTACAAAACATTTTCTGATCCGGAAACCTTTTGCTTTCTATTGTAGATAAATCATTCAAGTCCTTAATGAGCTATAACCGGTCCCAGATAGCGAAGAAATCGACCTCACAAATATGCAATTACTTTTAATATTTTTTTATAAAAAAAGTCCTTAATGAAATTGTATAATACATCCATCATGATAGGTATGATCATGTGCATAAATTAATGATGAGGGCGCTTGATGATGCTAGTGAAAGGGATTTTCTGTTTGTTTTTCTCATAAGAAAAAATGAAATTTGGGAACAAGACCTATATGTGAACTTTCCCACAGATCCTATTAGTTAAGCCATTTTTTATATCTGAATTGATAAATCAATCTAAACCTAGCTTGAACTATTAGTAAACAAGTGAATCATAATAAACCTGAGAAGGGAGAAAAGTTTTCCCAGGCCTGTATTGGCCAGCAGAAGGAACCTGATATGTCTCATGATCACAAGTTTTTAGTATTCTGTCGTTGATTTTGTTGCTGATGAATAATATATAAATTTAATTAATTGTACAGTTGTGATAAAAACTCATTTACTCGTGTCTCTAGTTGAATAATTTCACCTGTCATTCTGAAATGGTAAACCCTTGCTTTGTTTTACAGTGCTATGTCAAACAAACAGATCAATGCACGGAACAGATTACATGCCAGGCAAGTTCCACCAAATGTCAAACAGTCCTCAACAATGCTTCAGAATGGAGAGTGGTGGAATTGTTTTAGCCAGAAATTCTACTGAGCATACTGTTGGTCGCAGCTCTTCCCTCCTCCAGAGAGCATTAAGTAACAAGACCAGTTTCTCAAGGTAAACAATATTCATGGTGAAATTCTTGTTAGACTAAATTCAACATTGTTTTCATGTAAAGGCATTTAAGGAACAGGATACTTCCTTTTCTTTTGAAAAAAGAAGAAGAAGAAACAGCTAGAAACATTGATCCAAATAAGCGAGCAAAGTGGGATTGAAAAAAAAACACACCAAGCAAATTATGGGTTTCTATCACATTTTTAATTCCTTCTTTCTGGTCAAAATTATAGGTACCAACAATGGGAAGTTGATAAGCATGGAGTAACAAGGCAAAGTAGTTTGGCAAGGAAGGACCTCGGACAAGGATTAGACACAACAACCAAAATAAAGCCAATGAGGCCTGTCAGATTCCTCGAAGAACGTCGGTGGCCTCCACTCGAAATGGTTAAAAATCGATGGAAAATTTTAAGAAATAATCCCACCGGTGTCACCTGTACTGATAGTTGCTCCCCACCTCAAGAACATCAAAATTGTCCGTTGCCAAGGTCGTTCGAGACAAGCTGCTACTGGAAGCCAACTGGAGGCAACTCTGGAAATGACATAGAGATAAAGCAACCCTTGTTCAATTCTTCTGTTTCCATTGGCAATTTCAATAGCTTTAAACCAGAGTTTGAGCCCCCATTTCGGCTTGAGGTAAAATTCGAATTTTGAGTTATTATATAGGGCATGCTATAACCATATTTTGACACCTTTTGCTATCCTTAATTGTTCTTATCATTTTGTGATCTCTCTCTTTTCTTTTCGTAATTTTCCTTTGATTTGCATGCAGTTGAATCGTGAAAAAATGTTGAAGGACAAGGAATGGCTGCCTGATTTGCAACTGAGACTTAGCCAAAGAGTTGGAATGAATGACCATAAGAGTACTCATTGTAGAAGCACACAGGAAATTAGCACCAAGCTTTCACTTTCTTAGTGGCCATGAAAACAGGGAAAATTTTATAGAAACCTAGTCTACACAATAATATTCTAGCAAGGGTGAGTACTTAAGGATATCTGAATGTGTAGAGAAAATCATATATAGGATAGAAGTACAGATCTTTTTAAGTACTTGTCCTTAGAGCCACTCAAGCATTAGCAGTGTTTCGTTTGTCTTTTTTTCTTTTACGATGTTTTATCTTGTTCTCAGTGTGCAGGTAGTAATTGTCTAATTGATTCAGTTTTGATTGAATGAAGGCAAACGATAATGTGTTCCCTTTTTCTTCTTTTTTTTTTTTTTTAATGTGTTTGTGAGTGATGAGTTCTTGTCTATGAAAGCATTTTCACTATGTCTCAACAGAGAAATTCAATGGTGCTGGCCTTATATTAATCATAAACATGACTTCTCAATCAATTATTATAATGTATATCATTTTGTGTTGCTATATAGATACAGTGTTTTCTTTTCTTTATATCTCAACAGAGAAATTCGATGGTGCTGGCCTCAGCTTATTGAGGTTTTTTTTTTTTTTTTGATTTGCTATATGAGAAACCTCTGTCTCTCGTCAAACTTACGAATCGTAAAATAATTTATATTTATTTTGTATTCAATTTATTTTAAAATAATATTTATTAATTCATATTGAAACAACTCATACGTTGTTTATGTGACGGTCAATTTTAATAGAATTAATTGATAGAGAAGTAAATTAGAGAATAGAAGCAAACTAATAATTACAATTGCCTAATCTTTTGTAGTTTTTTTCCATATATAATCCATGTACTCTTCAAAATATTTTGATTGAGATTCTGTATAATTTTTTATATTGATTGAATCTTTCTATTGTTTATTAATTTTACTCTATTTTTGTCCATCTATTATATCACTATTAATTCGTGAGGTAACGCAACATGCCCACCCTTAAATACATGAGATATGTCATACATGAGATCACAATAATAGAACTCAATTAAAAGTATTTGAAGATTACAGAGACTCAATTAACATAATTCAAAAACCAGTGACCTAATTATTGTTTTTTTCCTTTTTAAGCTTTTATGTTATGGTTTATTTTTTAAAATCTCATCTTGAATGCTACCAAACGTGTCATATATCGAAACTTATAACAATAAAACTGTGAAGTATTTTTCTAAAAACAATTATTAAAATATGTTAAAAATAATAAAATAATACATAAAAAATAAACCTAACATACAATTATTAAAACAAAAATATAGTGATATAATATCGATTAGCTATAGAACCCTAGTTTATTGATCTTGTACTCCACAAAAAGTTTTTAAAAAAATTAATATTTAACCAACTCAAAGTGAAAAATGGAGTTGCTTCCGTAAAAAAAGAAAAAAAACTAGAGACTCGAACCATATTTTCTTTTGTGATATAGATAACTAGCTAGATACTAATCAAGATTTTTCTTTTTTTTTTCATTTCAAACAAATATATTTTTTCTTATTAATTTTTTTAATTGCATGTTAAGTTTGTATTTTTTTTATGTAATTTATTTTAAAGAAATTATTTTAATAATTTTTAAAAAACTCTTCACAATTTTATTATGCGGTTCCATATATGGCACGTTTTGCAACATTTAAGATGAGGTTTTTAAAACATAATAATATGAAAATTAAAAAAATAATAATAATTTGGTTCGTATAGTCTTTGAATTATGATGATTGAGTTTTTGTATTCTTCAAATTATTTTAATTGAGTCTCTACATTGTGGTTCTATGTATGATACATATCATGTATTTAGAAATAGACATATCATGTCAACTCACCACTAATAGCATTATAATTATAAAAAGACATAAATAAAATAAAACAAAAAATAGAAGAATTTAATCAATATCAAAAAAGTATAAAATCTCAATCAAAACAATTCGAAAATATAGAATTAAACTTTATATGGGCAAAACTCTTTTATATATTATTGAGAAATAATGTAAATATATAAAGACATATTGATAGGTTTTTCCATTTTTTTTAATCTTTTTACCAAATGTTTATTTTTCTTGGCTCTTTTTTTCGTCTTTTTTTTGTTTTGTTTTGTTTTTTTTAACAATGGAAACAAAACAGATTGCGAATTATACATCCCAGGCAACGAGGTAAAGTTATGAATATTGCATTGAATTAATCAATTAAAGTAGCTAGTGTCCAGTCTAGGAGTGAAATAATAACGAGTCGAAGACATATAAATGCCATAAATAATAGAAATAGATACATAATTCAACCTCAATTAAACTCATTTATTTTCGACATTCCGTTTTAATTTTGGAAAAATTTTGTCTATAATATCTTATTTTATTATTAGTTGAGTTGTAAATCTTTTAATTTTGTTAATTTCATCTCAAATAATGAATATTAGACCATATCACACCTCAATTAAATAATTATCGGTCATATAAAATATTTCATCCAATTTGTATATAGTCGATAAGTAATTCCATCCAAGACACAAAATAAACCTCAATATACCTAAAAGACAAAATTAACTCAAATATTAATTAATAATACTGATTTAACTAATATCCATTTCATTTAGAGATGAAATTGTCTAATGTTCATTACATTTAGCATAAAATTTATAAAATAAAATAAAATAATCTAGATTTAATTGATAATGGAACAAATACGTTAGTAGCTAAATTGATATTTTATTTTAATTTTGTATGAATGAAAAAGATGACCTATCCTTGGATAAAAATTAAGCGAGCGCAGCGGCATAGGCGACACGTTGTTGCTATCAGTTACATACAGCCGACTTGTCTCTCTATGCCATAATCAACTACTACATCTTTGTGCTGTAACCATGGGGATTGGGACCTCTCTCTATCTCCATTTCTTGCTTCTGGATCCACTTCCGAAAGTGCAGAAGATTTTGAGATGGAAAATGCATGGTAATGTTTCCTAGCCCTTTTCTTGTTTTTCTTAAAGTTGCAACTTCGAAAGCTAGAAGAGTGGCTCTCTTGTTCAGAATTTCCTTTGACGAACTGTGGATCCTTAGAAATGGAAATGGAGTAGAAGCCCTAAAACGAGACTTGTAATCATTAAGCACATGATGATCCTAAATAATCTCTATCCCAGAGGCTACCTTCTCATAATGACTTTGTTGAGCCTGGTGATCAAGGTGAGAGTTTAGAGGTTCTGCATATCATATCAGACATGGATGAGGCTAGAGCATGTGGATTGGGAACTGGGGAAGTTCTTTGGCTTTCTCCATCTGAGTTTGTACTCCATATTGTAAGATGTGAGACAGAGTTACGTAAGCAGTCACTTGGATGCTTCTGTCATTAGGTCAATTTCAACTTTCAAGTAGTCATTTTCAATTGGTTAACCTGGTAAATGTCGTGATTATTCCCTCCTATTTGGAAGAGAAAAAAATGACCTCTGCCAATTCTGCTATATTTATTTGGAGTACATAACCCTGTTCACTGCTTGCTTTTCCCTGCCCTGACCTTATAGTAGTCCGTAAAACATCTACAATTCATGGTAGAAAATGCCATTGACAACACCATACCAGTGACAACGTAGAATCAGGAAAAGTTTATATACACGCCAAATACTGATCCTGTAGAGGAAATACGAGAGGCAGAAAGTTCCACATGATATTCTTTTTTTAAAGAAAATACATACAAAGTCTCTAGTATGATTAAAAATCACATGGCTGAGATAAATCTCATGACAGGGAACGATGATGAGGCCAGGATCATCAGCTGAGGTGAGCTGTTAAATATGAACGTGAATCCAAAAGAGATAAGACAGCTGAACAACAAAATCATATTCTGAGGCTGTTGCAGAAGTCTCTTGCAAGAGAATTAGATCTTGAATGAACAGATGAAATTAAAACCGCCATACGCAGATCAAATAGCTTTTCGCTTGGAAGACACAGCAGTTGTCGTCCTGGAAGGCTTTTAAAAGCAAAAAATGGTGTCCATGTGCTCTTAGGATTTCAAATTAACGGTTTAATTATTTTCAGATTGTTCTATTAATCTGACGGGTTCGTTCCAATAAGAAGCCGAGTTAAAATCTATGCTCGAAGATTCCATGCAGCAGCTGCGCGCCAGCTGTTCTCCTATACGGAAGCTTGAGAACAACATTGCGGAACTCATCAGCTGAAGTGGCTAATTTAAAGATAAAAGTGAACTTGCTAGAGGAACAGTTACCAAACAAGAAAAAACAGAAATAACCTGTGAAGAATGCAAATGCCTTAAAATGAACAAAGTAAAGGGCAACTAAGCAAAATGGAGAATTTGGTTGAGTCTTTGAAGTCATACTGGCTGATGTGTTCTTATTTAAACCACGAAGGGTATCAGAAAAAATAGACTTATCATTGATATGTATCCTTCAGATCAGAATGCATCATATCCTATCTTAGCGTTGTTCCTTTTGGTCTTTCTTGATGTTGGTTTCCAAGCTGAGTCGAAACTAGAATAGATCTCTCTCATGCTAGTTGAAGCTAAAAGATTTACAGGCCTGAAAAAAGGGAATTTAAGGGCAGTACTGAATAGCATGCATGTAAGTACATGCAGATGTAGAGAAACAATAACACAACCAAACCACCAATTTTGGATGGCAGATCGAACAAATTTAGGGCCTTCCTGGATAGCTTGCAATGCCAACAGAACTTATTAACAGTAAATATACAATGTTGCTGGAGAATAGACATTACCAATAGTAAATGTGTAATTTCATTTATCACCATAAACAGTTTACTGATTTCTATAAACATAGGGATCAAGTGATCAACAGAATTGAAAAAAGCGAGAGAATAGAAGCTTAAACTGTAAAACACCATTACAAGGGATGTAATGGCTTATCTGCCAATCACCTCACCCCTGTATGAATGTGAGCAGGCACATCACAAGGGGGGTTATGAAAACTTAGAAATTTCAACAAAAACTGACAGCTGAATTCCATCTACCTACTGTAGGAAGATTTAACAGCCGGAGCATGATCTCCCAAAAAAAATGTCAGCTGGAAGGTTTAGTTCGCCTTCAATCATATCCGAGGAAAAAAATCCAAACAAAACAATTGCCGTTAAAGCTTTTGGGGAGAGCTCTGCTTCTCTTTTAACTTTTGGAGTGTTCAGAAGCATGAGGAATTAATTCCTGTAAAAGAATAACTAATATTAAATTCTTCCATAGCTCAACGTGAAACCTTTTGCCTTGGAAAAACAAAAAATGAAGATCGAGAGTAATGGCATTACCTCAGAATAACGTACATGATCGTGATGCAAATAGGATGATTTAACAATGGTTTCCCATTTGGTATTAGTAGAGGACGTCTTAGGATCCTGCCATTTGTTCTGAAAACTGGTTCCCCGATGCAAATGCGAAAGTGGATTTTGTGATGTGATTGAGGGCAGAGTTCGCCAAAGCCAAGATTCAGAAGGTGTTTTTGGTAGGATTGGGGGAAGAGGAGACTGTACTAAACTGTTTTTGACAATTCCTGAATCGCCTTCTTTTGAAATCTGATCACCATCAATATTTACATTTCCATCAGTGGTTGCACTTATACACACCAAAGCTTTAGATTGGTCCTCCATCATGTCTGCTTTGTCTGAGAGAGAAGCTGAATCAGCATCTGCAGACCCAGATACCTTATTTTCCAGTTCACTCTCTGCTTCGATAAATTTCAGGCGCTCTTCATCTTGAAAAGAAGATTCTTCAGCAGCAGCTTCTTTCATTCCTCTGCTTTTCAACGGTGTCGTAAAGTCCCTCCTTGCAGAGTCCACACACTCCTTGATATTTGAAGAACGTGAATCTGGGAAGAATATTCCTGCTTTATGTACAGTATCTATATACAATGTCTTCTCAACTAGGGGGCTTACTGGACGAGACCCTCGTTTAGCACCATAATAGGATGATAGATCCTGAGACTTGCTAACGCCCTTGTACAAATTCAACCTACTGGTTCTCAAATCTTCAGCCTCTTTAGGAATGCCTAGAAATCCCCTGCCACGGAAGGGAGATTGAGGCATTTCATTGCGATAAGGAGAAACGCACCCTGAGCGTCTAAAAGGAGATGTACCAGCTGAGCACCTAAAAGGAGATGTCCGACTCATTGTTTGCCTGTCACTTGCATAGATGAACCGATTGGATGCACAGGACAGTTTGTTCTCAGCCTCCAGCAGCCTAGGTGATTGCCCTCCACTCTCTTGTTTTAGCTTATTAGCAGCATCTTTAAAGTGCTGAAAAGCATTAACCACAAAATAGTAAGTATTTTAAGCTTTGAAAGACAATTTCCGCTAATTATAACATAAACATTTGACACTAACCAAAGGACAAATAATTAAAGGAAAAGGAAAAAACTGAGTTCTATACTAACCTTTTTCACAGTTTGACAATGAGATCTGTTATAAGCAACTCTGCCCAGTTTTTCAACATCATGGGTAGAAGACATGGAAGCCTGAGTCCTAAGTTTCAACCCAGGAATGGGATTCAGGAGACCCAATGAATTCTTGAAGCACAAGCGAGGAAACCAACCACAAGCTTTAGTTGATATATTGCCATAATCTTCGTACTCATCACATTCATCTTCACTTTCTTTCTCTTCTATATCCTGGTCATGATGTGGGATAATAATTGACTGAGATTTAATAGGAGGAGGTGTCCTGTTCCCATGAACCACCTTTGTAATTTGTCTTGATTGTTCAGCTGCCACAGGTTGCTTTCTTGAAGCATAATGAGCTGGCTCCAAAGCCATTGCCTTGGCCGCAGGTAAGAAACGACTCATCATGAAATCTCGTGTTTGTTGATCCTTGGAGAAGGTTCCTGATGGCTTCACAACCGGAACATCAAAGCCACTCAGACCACTTGCACTACAGTTCATGGACACTGAATCTGTTGGAGACAAAGTGTCAAGTGCATCAGAGTAAACATCATCATCATCATCATCATCTGAATTCACACCTGCTTTCACTTTTGCTCCCTCTCTAGAGTAATCCAATTTCTTTACCTTCTCGTTGAATGAATTTGCTTCAATTTTGGGCCTAGACACACTTTGATCTGTGGGTTTCTTTTCCTTGTGGTGCTTTACAAGATCCAACACCTTTCTAGGAGGATTCCTTTGAGTGACAGAAGTCTCCTTGGGGGCTTTGGGCTCAGGCTTTTCCTTCTGGTGCTTCACGACATCCAACACTCTTCTGGAAGAAATCCTTGGCATAGCAGAAGCCTCCTTGGGGACTTTAGGCTCACGCTTTCCCTTATGATGCCTAACAATATCCAACGACCTTCTAGGAGGAACCTTTGGGGTAACAGAAGCCACCTCAGGGACTTGAGGCGGCTCCGAAGAATTATCCTTAGCTCTACCAGGGATCTGTTCCCAGTGGAAAGGAACTGCAACTGGTTCAGTTACTTGATCCAAACTCGTGTCTGGTTTATATGGAGGAAGCGTATGGCGTCTATTAAGACGGGAGTTCTCAAGTTTCTTCGTTTTCGCACCATCTGAGGTTGTTGCTATATTGGAGAATCGCCTCACTGATAGAAGCGGGGCATTTAAATTCAATTTCCTCTCCTCCATCACTTTCACAACCAAACAAATTCTATCAACTCACTCTTCGATAAAAGTTCACCAGTCAAGAAAATGTGATGGCGGACGAGAAAGAACCATAGGTACAACTATGGAAAATCCCTCAATATCCCAAGTCTAGAAAATGAATCTGAAAATGAGCCGATTGACAGTTAGGAGAACAATCCAAGCCCAAGCATCTTAACGGTTAATAGCATACATCATACTAACTCATAGGCTTTATTCTTCAAATTATACATGGCATGAAAGAATCAAGAGAGAACTGCAAAAAGTAAATAGAAAATGATATTTGCACATTCCAAAAGAGGATGTCATCATATAACGACACTTGAAGAGCAAGGCATTTATTGTTCTCTAAGTAAAGTAGGAAAAAGGAACATGGAAACATTTATGCAATCCATTGCCATATGAATGTTCAGGAAATAAAAAAACTGGAAGAATATTGGGATCTGTGAAACAATAACCTCATCCAACAAACTCTCTGGAAGATCAGAGTGTATCAATAAAAAGCAAAATTCAATTCTTCTTTCCTTCTTCCTTCTTCAATTTCTCAGCAACCAATCAGAAAAATCATGTCAAGATCCAACTCTAACCTCACAAATACAGTTATCAAATTAGCATAGCCACAAAATTGGTACGATTACCATTGATTCAAGATCAAAAAAAAAAAAAATCAAGATGGAATTTATTGCATGACCTGAATTTTCATCTACTTTATCCAAGTGGCATGCATTATCAAGAAAGTATGTGTTCTGGTCAAGAAACAGCCAACTTCATCAACACCTTTAAATTAACACTTGTTTAAACACTTAAAATATCACCCGCTCACAAATCTTTAAATCTTTAACCAAGAACCAAAAAACTGACAGAAAAATCAACGAACTGCTAAAAACCAAGAAAGAAAGTAACTGTAACAGGCAAATTAAACAAAGTAAATTAACATTCTTGAACTAAAAAAAGAGATGCAAAGAACATACCTGAATGGTCGAAAGATAAAGCTGTGACAAGTTTTTATGAAAGCTACAAGTTCAAGAAATGAAACTGGAAGAAAGAGAAGCAAAGAAGAGAAGGACATATAGCATAAAACCATTGACTGAGCGAGTAAAGGATGTGAGGTTGGTGTTACTGCAAAAGAGGGGGTCCTAAAATGATGGCGAGAATTTGGGGAATGAGTGGAAACAAAGAAAAGTAAGCAAAGAGTGAGAAAGAGAAAGAGCTTACTACTACTGCTGCTTTGCTTTTGCTTTCTTTGGATTATTATACAGTGAGAAAGATACAAGGGCAAGGCACTGGTCATCATGGAGAGAAGCTTACTGAGACAGGGAAAACTAACCCTTTTCCTACGTTTTTTGGGTCTCCTGGTCTTCTCCTTTTATTAGGTTAATAATAGTAGTAAATCCAACATCGTCAACAAATTTTTATTTTATTTTTTTATATACTAACATAATAAGTCATAAATCATGTAAAAAATTAAACCCTTTTTTTTCAATAATAAAAGTGTCTTATTATCAAATTTTACGCATTTTTAGACTAATATTTTTTTACGTATAATTTAAATATTTTAATAATAAATTTTCAAAAAGACTAATAAGGGGAATCAAATTATGAATCTAATTTATAAGTCCATGAATTTTTATCGACGAATTATCATATTATAATTAAATTAAATTAAATTATTCAATCTGTCATGATAGAGAACACACATACTTTAATTATAGCATTTTGGTGTGAATTCATCAGCTTAAAAGCTGATCCACTTGTTTAACTATTGAATCAACCTCATCAAGTTAGTTAATCATTATGTAAAATAAAAATTAATAGTCAAGAAACATAAATGTTATGCAATATATATCAATTTCTTTTCAAACTTGTAGACTAAAAGAAATTAGTGCATTCGCAGCTCTGAATGGACTAATGTCATATAATTCGTGTGGCCCAGAAAAAAAATTGTCAATTTTCTGATATATTGGCGGATAGAGTGGAAGAATTGCTGTGAGAATTAAATAAATGATTATGATATGGTTATATACTACGACTAGTTCGTAAAGTTGGATTGTGCAATTTATGATAAGAGTGGCGGTGCTTGTCACTGATATACAGTTGAAAAGCGACGGTTGTTGAGCCAACGGCTTTAAATGGGTCCCAATTGGGTGGGAGTGGACCCACCCTTTTTTATTGACTGCTCCTACCATATAACTCTTTAAGGCTCCACGCACCATTTAAACAATCATTCTCTCTCTCTCTGTAGATATATATATATATTAACTTTTTTATCCAAAAATGTTAAAATGAGAGAAAAAAATTCTAATAGTTTTAAGTAATTATTTTCAAACTATAGTTATTATTATTTTATATGTTTGATAAAATAATAAAAAATTAATTTGGATGTTTGAATTTAAAATATCTTAGAAATAAACAAATAAATAAGCTCTTCTTAGGCACGGGCAGTGATTGACCTTTCAAGGCAGCATCTAAGGTCCTGTTTTTTTTTTTCTTTTTTTTGGAAAATTCTATTATCAAAACCATTTTTAAATGAAAAATGGTCCTGTCTTCTTAATAATAATAAATAACTAAAATAAGTGGACCTTACCCCTACCCCTGTCCAAAAAAACACAAATCCATTGGGCAATTATTTAACTCTTTTTTAAAATTTAAGGTCAGGTTTTGTCTGATTTTACTTATGAGACTATATTATTGATCTACTTAAAGATCTTTTCTGAATTAGAAAATTCGTGAAGATTTTATCTTATTATTTGCTTTTTAACGATTAACATAGTAAACACATTTACGAATGAAAAAGTAAATTTTTTTACCAAAAAATATATATATATTATATTAATAAAATAAAACAATTACTACCTAAAACTCTGAAAAAATTATATAAATCTGTTCAATTATCAAAATATCATTAATTATAAAAAAAAATTAAAAAAAGAGGATTTTTTGTACTATCATTGGAGTTTTCACATTTCTCATTTTACCCCTCTTTTTTTCTACCCCTTTTCACCGCAGAAAAACATAAAAGCATTACTATGAATTTTTTATTTTACAATGTGTTCCGCTCTTTTCTTTTTTCCTCATTCATCCAAATTCGTTATATTATCACAATGCCTTTAAACTAAGTTAAAAAATAATAATAATAATAATAAATAGTGATCAGCGAGAGGACCTTTTTTACCCTCATTTAAATATTTTGCTTTCATTCTGAAAAGAACAAAATTTATTTTTCATAACGCTCTTCTCTTCGCTTTTCCCATTTCATTCCAAGGAAAAGAGAAACTATATTTATTAATATTCTGTCACTTTTATGGCATCGTTAATTTTTTTCTAACATATAATTCTTTCCTTCTTTCTTTCTTTTTTCCTCGTTTATGTGCCGATTTGTAAAAAATTACCAGAACTTATGCCCTTGATTTAGTTAAGAAAAGCAAAAAAACAGAAAACGTAGTTTCAATTTTGCCCATACACTTGTACATTATGTTCGAAAATTTTTATCTTATTTGAGAAATAATTAATAATATTTATTTCATAAAAAAATAGATATAAAAAGATAGAAAATAAAAAAGAGAATCTTAAAAAATAAAATTAGGTACTTGTTTGGTAATCAAGAATAGAGTTATGGGAATAAGAATGAAACTTTTATTCTCACATTATACTTGTTTGGTTAAAAGGAATGAAGTGAGAATGAGAATGAAGAGTGGGAATGGGAATAAAAATTTACACACAACTTCATTCTCACATAATATGTGGGAATAAAAAACAAAGAATGGGAATGAATTTTTCTCAAAATAATAATATATTTTATTTATTTATTATCTATTAACTACTTTTACCATCATCACCATCACCACCTTTAAAACAACTACAACCACCACCACCACCATCACCATCACCACCATCACAACAACCACTGTTGCTATTACCACCACCAACCACCATCACCACCACCATTGCAACCATCATAACTACCACTACTATTACTACCACTCGGCAATTATTATTGTCACTACCACCACCACTAGAACCACCACTATCATAACCACAATCACCTTTATTATTTTTACAATTATATAGTTTAATAAAATTATTTTTTTTTATTATTTTATTTGTATAAAAAATCAAATATTAAAAAATTTAAATTGCATTTCGATTCATTATTAGTATTCTAAACACGGTATTGAAATACAAATATCATTCGATTCCTTAATTTTCATTTTGATTACTTGCATTCTCATTCCCATCACTCTATTCCCGATTATCAAACACCACCTTAAGTTTATTTCAAAAAAATTTATCACTTTTAGTAGATATGAATGTGATTTTTTTATCTTCTTTATATTTTTTTTCTTTCTAAAATAGATTTATAGAATAATTATCAATAATTATTTTTTAAATATTTTAAAATTTTTTGGTTGTATCCAATTTTTTTCCTTATTTGTTTCAGTTTCCTACTTTTTAATGATGAAATGTTTGTTCATGCGTTTGCAGACCTGACACGTTCTTACTTAACTTTTGAATCCAACTTGAGACATGTGGATCCAATGTAGGCCCAATTTATTTCAATGATAAATTTCAATTTAGCTCTTTGAAGTTTATGTATTGTGTCGGTATTACCTAATAAAAAATTATTTGTTTTAATTAGATCTTGTACTTCTTATATTTGTTCCACTCTCTATTTTCCACCAGAAATAGTAACGAAAAAGAATGTAAATTTCAATTTTTTCTACAAAATTAATAAAATATCTTACTATAACCGACAACATAATAATAATAAACAAATTAAAATAAAATAAAAAATCATCAAAAATTTTTTTTATTAAAACATAAAAAAAAAAAAAATCAACACTATCTGCTAATTATTTGACAATACAATAATAAGATTAAGCCAAAACAAAATGTGATAAATAATAATAATAATAATAATAACAATATAAACCCCCACCGTTGTTGCATGTCCCACATTCTCTTACTGGTGCATCATATCCACATGT